TTATTATCAATACCAGACATCCCTTGCAGAAACCATACAAGACATTTTGTGGTAGAATATTGAAACATGCAGAATCAACATAAATGTTTGTTTTGTGTGTGATTTCAATGTAGTTACGCCTTTTGCAGTCTCTGCTTCACTACTCTGTTTTTTTAGACACATGTGACATCTAAAAAATGAACTAAAGTCAGTTCAAATACACACAATGGAGCATTTTGCAGCAGATCTGATACTAAAATGAGCAGAATTTTGATTTTAGCTGTTAATTACACCACTTGTGCATTGCCTTTGTAGGATTTTGCTGGCCGAAGTACCACAGTATGGCCTGGTGGTCAACCCACAAAAGGTGGTGGTCAACTTTCAAGTGTCAGGAAACGTGGGCACTTGTCCTAACATCCGCGTGCTGCCCCCTCGCTGCCTGTTCCCCTGGTGTGGACTGCTGCTGGACACCCACTCACTGGACGTCTACAAAGATTACTCCAGGTACGACATCTCGTCAGTTGTTATGCTGCAGGATTACTGCCTCAGGTGCGTTTCCTGCACGTTAGGGTTAGTTTTTGGGCTTGTTGCCAGCCTTTATGGGGTTTTTTTTGTACGTTCACTGAAACGCTTCCTGTACTTTGCACCTAACCATAAACATGAAACATCTGTGATTGTCTCATAAACAACTGTTTATGAGATGCTATGTTTGTTTAATATTCTGGCATACGATACAGTAAGCATGACGATTGCATTGTTACTTGCAGTATTTTTCCATATTCAATTTGCTTTTTTGCCCCTACAGAAAGTTTTTCTGTCTTTCTGTTGCTTCTTTTTCTTCTTTTACTTTTTTAACTTTTCATCTCTCGCAGCTATGCAGGTCTGTCCCTGCGTTACAGCCTAACTTTGGGCTCTTTCCACTCAGCCGGACAGCAAATGAGGAGGAAACTAATGGGTATCCTCAGGCTCAAGTGTCATCCGCTGTTCTTGGACCTGAAGGTCAGAGATGAAAAAATTAGGAGTCCTTAGATTTCAAAATCCTGCAACTGTTTTTCATTTACATACTTTTCGGTCTTAATGATAGACATTAACAGAGAGCATAGTCTGGAAAAGCTGAGAAGATCCAAATTTGAATGCTCATGTTATCAGTTTCTCGACATCTACAGACACAAAAACCCACAACTAACAAGATTCAGGAAGTTTATTGTCACAAACGCGAAAGCATCACAATATTGTGGTTGTTTCAGTAGCTGGTCTCCGCATATGCTCAAAGCAAGTATATGAGTAAGGACACATATATACATTAATTGAGATTTTTTTGTGTTACTTATAGCAGAAGCAACAATGAGAATTTTAGATGTTCCTTATTTTATACTCAAAAATGCTTTTGATTCTGCTGCATGGTAACGTCATGCATACAGTGCTAACGGAGGCAAATCTACAGTAGCTTTATACCAGTTATAGGGGACAAAGGGACGACCCATAAATACACCTTCCAGAAGACTGAAGGTTAAAAACCTGAGCCTGCACTTCACCGAACAAAACATGCAGTTGGGCAGTTTTATCACTCAACTGTATCACATGAATAGTCAAAAATTTCCAAGGTTTCCAGTCGGACGTCACCCTCAAATAGCAACACGGTGGTAAATTAGAGCTGTAGATGTGTCAAGTTAACCTTGGTAAATGACTGTTCAGGGACACAGGAAATATAACAGGTTTATTTTGCTTATATTAAATATCATGTAAAAACAATACCAAAAGCATACTCGTCACAAATGGAAACTAGATTCTTCATGTTCTGTTTTGTTATTTGTATAATATTGGATACATTTTTTTCTTCTCAGACCAACTCTCTTGAGGCGGTCTACAAGAACATCTACAAGTTGGTGCTGCTGCATGCATGCAGGTAAAGTCAGTGTCATTAAACAGGACTTTTTTTTTCTTTCTTTTTTTTAACCAAAATTTGAATGATGGTTTTCACAGGTATCAGTGTCTGTTACTGAGACTGAATATGTTAAAGGGGCATTGAAAACATTCAGAAACATGACACACAGTTCACTTCTACGCTCATGTGTGCTCTTAAGCTTTGACTTAATCAATAGGCCGTTAAAGATAACGCTGCTATTAATATGAGCAGAAAGATTGTTGTCAATCAATACCTGCACTGAGCGCTGAAAGTACTGGACCGCCTTTTTATCTCCATATGTCAATATATGAATGGCGTCTCTATATTGTCTTTTGTCCCTTTCCTTTTTTTTGTTTTTCTCTTTAGGTTCCATGTGTGTGCACAGAGTTTGCCCTTTGGTCAGACGGTTGCTAAGAACCCTGCTTACTTCCTGCAGATGATATGGGACATGGCACGCTATGCCAATAAGCTCATCAGGCTCAGCAACAAAGGCAATACTTCCATTTCATACATTGTTGTTGTTATTATTATAACTATTATTATATATTTATTCCCTATCTTTTATTTATATATATATATATCTTTTCTATGTACCCCCCATTCAGAAGCCCATTTTCATATTCTGTTTGCACTATTCTCTTTTGTTTGCGCTATTTCTTATATTTATATGTACATTTTTTTCTGTCTCGTATGTGTGTATCTCTGTGTTTAATGCTGCTAACAACAACGTGAATTTCTCCACTGTGAGATGAATAAAGGCTTATCTTATCTTATCTGAATAAAAGATCAAGTGAAAAACTCATCATAATCATAATTTTATTCTATTTTTCTCTCTCCCTTTCCCCAGGACTGATTTTAGGTAGTAAAGCCCAGACGGGCATTCTGCAATATGAAGCAGTGGAGCTGCTTTTCTGTCTTTCCTTCTTGCTGGTGCTGTCACGCCACTCTCTTCTCTATAAAGATCTGCTCTCACACCTGCACAAACGTATGTACCCTCAGGAAACCTGCACACATTCACATCAATACCACAGAACGACGATCCAAGCTGATTGATTATGTATGATGTGCCTCATTCTTCCAGTTTTACAATAAATTTGATTTCTTTCTTTATTGTTTTTTCTGCTATATATATTTAATAAGCTAAAAAATATTCTGGATAAAAGAGACATGCTTTATTTTTTTCCTCACCAACAGTCCTAAACCCAAAGATGTTGTGTTTACAATCAAATAAAACAAAGAAAACAGAAGAAAAGTTTATTTTTCATTTGATGATGCCAGTGGAGAAAATTTTCATAGATTTGCACCAAAAATGACCATGAAACAATCTGAAACGTCAGATTGCTTCATTTCTGGCAGTGCAAGGCGATGGAATATTTCTGTCTTGATTGTAGCGTCCAAATGACACATAAAATCTGCCTCATTGTGTTCATTTGAAGCCGGAAATAACACTTTTGATGGTGTCTCATGTGGTCCATCACATCTTTGAAATCTGTTGCACAGCGAATATTGACCTGAAGCGTGAACACAAGTAAATATTTTGCTGAAATTGTTCTTCACCTGTCAATGAAGAAAAACAAGACATTTCTGTCTCTGTGACAAAAAACATCGTCACAGTAATTTTCCAAGAGAGGCCAATCCTTTTGCGTGTTGTAAGGATTTCACCTAACGACGGGAACTGCCCCGAGATGACGATGTGAATTGGTGCTGTATAAATATTACTGCATCGAACATAAACTTGTGAAGTGTGCACCCAACCCAGCAAATATAGATATGTGATTTTATATACACACAAGTCAGTTCATTGACACTTTAAGTTGATCTTACAGTTCACGAAGGTGAATTTTTACAGTTCACTAAAGAAAGGGGGAAAAAGCGTCTTATCTTGTGTTCTCATCGTCTCGACAGGAAAGCGCAGTCTGGAGCGACGCCTCGGAGATCTGAGGCTGTCCAGGGTCCGACAGGCCGCTAACCCCAGAACCCCAGCTGACCTTTTGGCCATCCAGACGTAAGACGAGCAGCGAGCCCCACGTACAATTTCCAACACAACCAAAGAAAACTATTAAGAGCTGAAAGGTATGAATAAGTATTTATTTAGTCCAGTTTTCCTAAAATGTTTTGACTTTTGTTTATGTGGTCGCATAAAGTTCATTGGAGTTTTGTCAAAATGAAGACATTGTACATAATCTAATGTTTAGGCTTTGTGAGAGTGAGATGAACAGTGAAATCAGCAACGTTGATTTATCCTGCATAACGTGTAATGTATGTCAAAATGTCAGACAAATTAGTTGACAACAAAGCATTCAAGTCATCTGATATAAAAGACTTTAGTGATAAACCTCAGTCATAAACACGCCCTATAAAACAACAACAATGAGATCAGTAAAGATTGATGATAGAACATTATTGAGCTTCTGTACTGGAGCAGGCGTCATCCCTCAGCTATTTGTCTTTTTGGACTTTGATTTACACTTTGTGGTAGTTTTCCACTGTGGAAAACTACTACAAAGAAGACATGGCGTCACTTAGAAAATAATTTACATGAAAAAGTGCACAGAAATGTTGTTGTTGGAGTGAACAAGTCAAATGTTGTTTGTACAAGGTGATGTATTTCCAGTTTTATACAATAAAGTAATGATAATTACAAGGACATTTTCCCTTGAAAATGAATCAGATATAAGAACTCACGCAATGTTTTGTGACATTTAAAACAAATGTTAAACCTACATGTGTGTTTGAATATATGGTTTTAGAAATGTGGAATCAAAGAAGGCTGTGTTTTTCACTTTCAGAGGTTCTGCTGAATGTTATTTACATAATGTACAGTACAAAAAACAATGTAAAAGTCTTACTGTTAAAATAAATCCAGGTTTGTTTTTGAGGAAACAAGCTGAAGTTGTCATATGTCACATCCTGTTCTTAAAAACTCCTGATCGTATAGACATCAGAATCTCTATGAAGTTCTGTATTACAATTTAAAATAACTGATTATATGTCAGCTGGCATTTGAATTAAGGTGAACATTCCACACAAGTGGTGATAACATGAGGACGTCTCCTTCTGTTCGGGAACACGGCAGAGTTGTAACTCGCCACATTCCTCGAGCTCTTTGATTGTTCTGTTCCTGTGCTTAACCCTCAAAAGCGTAGTTGTTGTAGGGGTTTAAGTCAACAGATGTCTTTTTCATTCCTCTGCAGATCAGTTTGTAGACAGCCACTAAAGGGATGGAAATCACAGGCACTGCACAGAGGAGGACGATTATGGCAAACACCCAGTCTGGATACGGCTTTGGTTCAGTTTTTGGGAATTCTTCCTAAAGAGAAAGACAAGCATATAAAATGTGAAGGAAAAAAACCAAACAAACAAAAAAAGAGTTTTCATTTTTAAATTAAATAATCATAATAAAAAAGCCTATGTGGTAAATAAATAATGTAAAAAAAAACACAACAAACAAAACAACTAAATTGACAGAATCTGCATCAGCATCTGGACAGCAACTGATTTAAACTGAAAATGTCAGATCAAGGAGTACGATTTGATCAATGCATCGGACGGTTCGTGGAACAAATGCAGAAACACAGGCGCGTGACACAGGACCAGCCGGGCTTTCCAGGCTGCTGCACTCCAGTTATTCTGCTGAGACTGAGGACAGTTAAAATCCAGTGTGATCAAATGAATTTTAAGCTATCTGATGAGCTTGAGAAATTGGCCCTTAAGATAGTGACATAAATACACTCGTTATCACAAAATTTGATTTGTTATCTGTTTTTGCTTTGTCATAATTAATTTGTGATCTTGAGATCACATCATAAAAATGTTGTAACTGCATGCAACATTTCCCTTCAGCACTGGCCTATTGTTAATTATAGGAAGTTTTTATGCAGACCATCAGCAGTATTATTAGCATATATATATATCTGGAGTGGTGCTTCTTGTGAATGTAAGTGAAATTCACACACTTTTCGCTCTGTTTTTGTCTTAACCAACTGCATAAGGGAAACTTTTTAGCCACTCAGTGATCCATCAGTTAGTTAAACTGGGTCACTTAGAAGAGGGCAGCGATAATAGATAATTTAGTGTGAGTAATTTTGGAATAAGTTTAAATATTGTGCAGGATTTGGATGATTATTGACTACATTCAGAAACTTCAAAGTATTGATGTTAGGAGCTTAAGCCACTTGTAAAATGTGCCTTTGTGAGCTTCATTGTAAGATTTTCTTGCCACATATGCTTGCTTACAAAATCTGGGTTCCATGCTGGATAGGAGGGGTGTTTCTGTGCCTGGACGACCACGTAGGCGACAAACACCACCAAGAGCATCACAGGACTGATTACCATCCAACACGCCTTCCAGAAGATGTTGGGCCTCCGTCCAGTCATGTAATAGATGTCATCGCTGAAACTATCAGAGCACGCAGGAGACCAGAGTTAGACTCAAGACTACAAGAGTTGTATTTAAGATGCGAAAGAAGAAGTGGAGAAAAGTTTACGTTTTCATTCCACGGACATAAATGACTCCAATAATCTCAAAAAGCGCGATGATGAGCAGAGGTACGGAGCCCACATAGCTGTTGAAAACCTCCACCCAGTAGTTCCCAGAGCCCAGGGTGAAGATGAGGGCTGTGGCGCAGCATAATACAAAGACAATCACTGAGGAAGTGAGAGAAGAAAAGAAAAGGTTGTTAGTGGAAGAATACAAAGAGAAAAAAAAATCCTCTTTCATTCAATAACAGCTTAAAGTAGTTCAGAAGTACCTGTAAAGAGTTCGTTAGGCATCCACTTGGGAACCAGTTTGAAGTCCTTGATGGGCGTGAGGACGCCTTCCATGTTGCCAAACATGGAGGAGAGACCCAAGCTGAAGAGCATGACGAAGAAGAGTATGGCCCATACCTGCGAGCCTGGCATCGATATCACCGCTTCAGTGAAGACAATAAAAGCCAGACCAGTGCCTGAAGCACTCTGGGGGAGGGAAGTTAAGAGAGAGACCAGAAAGTAATGAGGAAATGACTGCATGTGTTTGACTGGAACTCGCCTTTTTTCCTGGAAAGGAGGGCAGAAAACAACCAGGAATTCCAGAGAGAGGGTGGTTAGAGAAAAGTTACAATACCTGGTCAAGGAGGTCTTGTAGGTCACAGACGTCCAAGGATAACTTGAGGACCTGATCTGGATATGTCTCATTCAGATAGGTAACCCACTGATCATAGGTGTCTGTTGTTATGTTCTGGTCAGCAATGTCAAAGGCGTTGGTTAAAGACAGAATGTTTCTGTGGATGAAATTGAAAGAATCAGTCCTCAGGATTTTAAAGAAGTTTTAAAGTCACCTACGACAGATGTGCGTACATACTTGTCTAGACAGGCGAGGTAGGCGTTGTTGGCTTTAAATCCCAGGATGGCAAAAATAGGAATGGATGCATAGAGAGACGTGGCACTGTTTATCACTCCTACAAGAACGGCGTCCCTCTCGCAGTTGTTTCTAACGGACACAGAACAAAATCAACGCTGCACTTTGTGGTCACCTTGTCTATACCAGTGGGTTGAGCAGTTTTAGTCCTTACTTCTCTGCGTTGTAGCTGGAGAAAGCTATGAGACCTCCGAATGCTACAGAAAGAGAGAAGAAGATCTGGGTGGCAGCGTCCAGCCACACTTGTGGGTTCAACAGTGTTTCCCACTGCAGCAAGCATGACAAGAACAAATTACAACAATGGAAGTGCGTCTGGGACTTGATACAACCCTGCAGCTACCCACCCTAGGAGTGAAGAGGTGCACCAGTCCGGTGGTAGCTCCGGGCAGAGTGAGGGCACGGATCAGGAAGATAGTCAACACCAGGTAAGGGAAGGTGGATGTCACATACACAGCCTGGAAAGGTAAATAATTATAATAATGAAAACTACTTGGTGTAATACAGTCGTCCTCAAATGTATTCATACCCTCCCATTAAAGAAGAAATAAACAGCTGTCACTGAAATAAGTTGAAACTGACAAAAGTAATAAATTAAAATGTAATGAAAATCATGACATTGTTTTTGAATTGTGGTTCAACAGAAATATTTAAAAAATAAATAAAAAAATAAAGCAAACAAGCATGATGGGACCTGTGCTCTAATTTGTCCAGGACAGTTTTTTTTTTTTTTAAATCATTCTTTTTAATCACAATTCAAAAGCAACGTCTTATTTCACTAAATTATAATTCAGCACAAAATTTTTATTTATTATTACTTTTTTCAGTTTCTTGTTATTTGAGTCACTATTGTGAATTCTGCCTTTTCTTTAGTGGAAGGTAGAGTGATTTATTTAGCAACTGGAGTGACATATTTTTTCACTGACCTTTCCTATGGAGTCGATGCCTTTGATGACGCAGATGTAGACGATGCACCAGGCGCTGACCAGACAGATGACCATCCACCACTGCAGAGAGCCGCTGATTTCGATGTCAGGTGTGATGTTCAGGGTCTCGCGGTACCAGAAGTAATTCACTGCAGTGCTCTTCTCACACTCCACATTATAACCTATATGGATGCACACAGATGCAAAGAAAAAAACAAAGTGATCTGTCATATTCATAGTATGCTTTATTCACAAACTGTTATGTGCTATTAAAAATGTGTTCTTTTAATCTCTTATTTCATCCAGTCATTTTAAAATGTGTAAACTAAGTCATCATCACGACGTTAATATTGATGTTATTACTGGTAAACCAGTGGTCAAAACCAGAGGTGGCGTTTGCCTGTTAGCGTATCGACTCGGCTCAGCAGTCTTTAGATTTTCACTGGATAACTGCACCATTCCTAAAGTTAATTTAGAGTGAAATGAATTCAAACGTGAGACGCTGAGCTCTCTGCAAAGTAAAGTCATTCTTTCTTTTTGTTGTTGCTTCACTTACAGTATCACTGTGATGGAGCGGCAGATCTCAGACTGTGTGCCTTGGAGTTTATGACGTCTTACACGGCTATAATCATACAGAATGGTGTGCCTTGGAATACTTTACTTTATATATTTTGTTCAATAGTAATTTGGGTGATTTAGCCCTTCAAACAGTCCAGGAGAAGAGATTCATTTGCTGGTGAGATGAGAAAAGTTCTTCATAACACAAAACCCCATATAAATAGTTCATAGTAGTCAGGCCTAATGTGCTGCCTGTGTTGATAACAAAAACCACGAAACGTTCTGTGTTTTCATTGCTTCTCTGCTACCTGTTGCCATATTTTGTTAGTTATGGATGAATTATGTCTGTAATGAAGTATTGGATGTGACAGAAACGTATTTTGACACACATCAGACTTGTAGGGATGTTTTTGATCAATGATGTCATATTTTTGAGGGCTTTAACGCATAGTCAGAATGAAAGATGAATAGATCCCAACTATTTGTCTTTGTTATTGTTGCTGTTGTTAAAGAAATTAAAAAAAAAATAACTGAGAGAAAGTTTTGACCCAGGGCTGTTCATAGTACATTTGGGGATATGACCTCAGACATCCAGGTCTGCTCTCTGGCTGTCACTCATTCCACGATCTGCGATTGAAAATTACCTTTAAAGAGAAGCATGCACAGTTTTATTTTATATTGTGGTGCAATATTCCTTGGTGCCATAAAGCAATCCAGTGATTTTCTGATAAAGTCTGACCTAAAATGTCACTTAGACCGTGACGAGTCCTCTAGATGATGGTCTTGAACTTCGTTACAGTTTCTCAAAACAAATTTGCTGCAATATAATCGTACATATTGTACTGAGCTGCACTGTGGCAACACTTCTGTTGTTACTGTCAGCTTTGAAACCACAGTGTGTATCTACAAATGTATCAAGAGTGGTGAAAAGAACGGAGAGGGAGAGACTTTTTGTTTTTTTTTTTCTCACCTGTGCGGTTTTCATTGAGCGGACAGCTGCTCCAGGGCAGCGGGTCTTGGAAAGAGTGGAAGAAGTACCAGAGCACCCAGGCCAGGATGGTGTTGTAGAAAAGGGACACCAGCAGTGAAACAATGGAGGAGGCGATACCTGCACACAGGAACACAACACAGGCTTAAAGACAGTGTCCACACTGTAACATAAGTCAGCTTAAGAAAGGATTCTTTGTCTGACAGAGAGCGTAACTGATGTAAATTGTAAACACATGCTTCTTGGATCATCATCATTACATTTGTTTTTGAGTGCAGCTTATAAGGGAAAGGTGATCTGAGGTGTTACGTGTACATTTGTTGTGTTTTATTTCAGCGTCTTCTACAGAAAGCAGTTTCCTCAGAAGCTCCTGAGTCTGACTGTGTGTCACTAATAGTATCTCTCCAAATACGCCACTGTGTCTGTCCATTTTGAAGTTCTTTTTGAAAAAAAAAGAACACTCATTAATTTTGGGGTATTGAATGAGAGTGATTATAAGTTTCTGCTTTTGATATGTTTCCTTACAATAAATCCAAACATTGCACATACAGTCGTCCTCTTCATAGCCTTCCATTAAAGAAAAGGCAAAATCCACAATAGTCACTCAAATAACTAGAAACTGAAAAAAGTAATAATAAATAATAGAAAAATTTGCTAAATTATAAATTAGTGAAAAAAGACATTGCTTTAGAATTGTGGTTAAAAAGAATAATAATAAAAAAAAAAACTGTCCAGGACAAATTAGAGCACTTTGCTGATGAGCAGGAGGCCAAAATCTAAATTCCTGTCAACAGAAGTCTGATTGAGAGTTACAGAAAACACTTGATTACTTGATTGGCTCAAAGGGTTGTTCTTTTGCCAATTTCAACTTATTTCAGCTGTTTTTTTACCTTTATTAATGGGAGGGTATGAATCAATTTGATTGTGACTGTATATACTTCCAGGCTAAATAAAAACTAAAATACATCTCGCTAATCATTTTAGGTCACTCACCGACTCCACCCAGCAGCGGAGAGATGGAGTTCCAGACCCCGACGCTGCCCAAGCGGAGCCTCTGTCCGATAGCCAGCTCCAGGTAGAGCAGAGGGAGGCCCTGAAACACCAGCGCTATCAGGTAGGGGATGAGGAATGCACCTGAAAGCACAAAGGCAGCGTTTACCTCACAGTTAGACGTCAGAAACACTGATTTTTACACTGTGAAACACACTAAACGTGCTCTGTTACAAGTTAAAGCTCCACATTAAAAATGTCACTCAAATAAAAAATGTGAATATTACCATGAAAATGTACATAAAGCAGTTGGTTTAGGTGGTGCTCACTTTATTTAAGGATAAGAGAAACATATGATTATTTTCTCATCCATCGATTGATTTGGTTTGTTGAACTTCTAAAAAAAAATAGCACAATATGCAATCATGAGGTCTCTAAATGATTATCGAAGGAGCTGCCCATTTTCTGGTGATTAATCAACTAACTGGTTAATCAGCTGGTCATCTTCAGTGTTCGTGTGTAAACTGTTGGGTAGACAAGTAAACTTGACAGATGCATTATTTTTACGTTTTGCAAAAACAAATCTTAGTCTGTAAATCAAGTGATTGTGTTTCGTTTAATGTAATAAAGTAAAAAGTGACAATATGAGATGTAGTGGAGTAGAAAAAAGTAGAAAGAGTACAAATAGCTCTGCTTTGTTCTTACTTTGAGTAAATATTCTTTGTTATATTCGGCTACAACTGCATCTTTAGTAAATAATAGAAAAGGCTGAAGTAACTTAATGCAAATATGACTAATAGGACCCCTAATCCGAGGTCAAACAGAGGCCCAGTGGAGTCACAAACGCTGCTTTTGAGAATGTCTGAATCTCAGAGTCAATATGTGAAGTTGACAGAGCCTGTGCACTTCAAGATTGGCTGTTTACGCAGCTTAACCCAGACCCAGGTCCTGTTTGATTCTGTGGTTTCAACACTCACCCTATCTGACGGGGAGCTATGAGGAAGTAAAGACTGAGATTGGGCGTATTGATCACACTCACCATTTCCCAGACACTGATAAAATGACTGACCTGGTTCATTTGTTAATGACTAATTAAACAGAAACAAGAGGTAAATCAAAACTGAAGCATCTTTTAGACTGTATACAATTACTGTAAGAGATTAAATGCTTACACTGTCACACAACGAACTTAATTAGGATATGTTGAGATACATGAAAGGTACAACTCAGAGGCAGCATCTCACCTCCTCCGTAGATTTGGCACAGGTAGGGAAACCGCCACACGTTTCCAAGTCCCACTGCAAAGCCAATACATGTTAGCAGGTACTGAGCCTTGTTGTCCCATTTGGGTCTCTCCTCCACTGCAGACTCTTTGGTTTGGACCATTTTCAGCTGGCAAATAGGCTTAGGACAATCCCAGGTCTCTTACACGATTTCAGCTCTTTTACTGCTACCATACACTTCAGTCAGGTCGTATATGTTTCTTATTTCATCCAGGATTCTCCACCTGATCTGCCTTCAGCGTACATCAGAATAAGTCTTGTCTCCAGGGGTTTGGGTCAAGTGATGTCCAGCTCTCCTCTCCTCCTCTGTCTGACTCTCTAAAGTGGGTTGTCTTTTCACCTCCTATCAGTTGCAGCTTTGAGTCAGGAATACGGATTTTATTGGTTTTTTATGAAGTAATCAGGTCAGCAGGAAGGGAGTGAAGGCAAGCACCAGGCATTGCTGATTTAGCGGTTAAACCTCCCTGCCTGTGTAAAATGGGAGTGTGCTGAATTAATGTATAACCTGGTGATGCCGTTTCAGTATTGCACCGAACTCCAGCAGCTAATCACAGACACTGAGTAATTGAGACGTGATGACAGCTGTATCACGACCAAACTGTACCTCTGTTCAATCAACCTTTGCAGTGCGCGTGCGTTAGAAGGTTGTGCGGTTTTCAAAACAGGACACAATGTATGCGTCCTGGTTAAAGATCAGCTATCTGTACAGGACAAGCTGTAGTTGTTTTGAGGTCTTTTTGACCTCATCAAAGATCTCTGTTACAGTCAACAAAATCAGCTCTTTGCAAATGGATACTTACTTAAAAATCTGAAGGGGAGGAAACCGAGTGATGTTTTGGTACACTGATTATGTGCAGATGAGAAAAGATCAGAGTCAGTAAGAAGGACCACATCATGCCCACGTTTTCCTGCATGTGACTGTGAACTCAGGCAACCAGCAACTGCAAACCCAAATTTGGTTAAATGAGGCACTTAAGGTAATTTACAGTCCTCTTTTCCAGTTTTTCCGTGCAGAATTAGACAATAGTAAATAGTTTATTGTCCTTGCCAGTGATGTTCAATTAAGGTAGTATTTAAAAAAATCCCCTCTAGTGATAATCAAGCTTCTTTTATTTATTTATTTTACTTTAAAATGTTCATATCGTGTGTTTTTTTCTTCTTCTTCTTTTTTTTTTTTAATATGCTAGAAGAGACATCATGAGCATTCAGGGCCATAACTAAGCATTTCCAACTTTAAACTGCAGAGCACTGAGGACATAAAGAACAAACACAAGAACACAGATTCTGGACCTTTATGCGTAACAAACCTAAAGAACGAACACTATGTCCTGAGAATTACAGTTCTCTCACATGTTAATGTGGTTGATAGGGAAGAATGATTCACAAGTCAAGGGTAATTTTGTTAAAGGTGTCACAGTAGACTCAAGGCAATCGGAAAAAAAAAAAGTTTTGGAAAGTGCATTTAATATTGTTCTATTGTCACTCAATCATACAATGTACATACACACTCACATGTTGCAAATCTTAATTTATGCTCCACAGTTTAACTCAAATCCTAACAGTTATCACAGTCTGAGCACATACAGTCGTCCTCAAATCTATTCATACCCTTCTATTAAAGAAAAGGCAAAATTCACTATAGTCACTCAAATAACTAGAAAGTGTAAATAAATAAATGAATGAATAAATAAATAAATGCTTGTTTGCTTGTTTATTTTTTTCTATGTTTCTGTTGAACCACAATTCAATGATTTCATTAAATTTTAATTTATTATTACTTTTGTCAATTTCAACTTATTTCAGTGTCAGCTGTTTTTTTTCCTTCTTCAATGGGAGGATATGAATACATTTGAGGACGACTGTATGGATACATTAAAGGAAAAACACCGTTTTGACATGCTGGGTAATATTCTTAACGAGCAAGTGACCACGTTTGTTGAGGTAAATGGGTGCAGTATCACTTTAAATGGTGGACGGATCAATGTCTTGGCACCACAAAGTGAACTGTGTGGTTTGAAGTAAAGCAGTTATCGTGTCATGGCACGGCTGCTTGAACATCCTGTGGTAAACAAATACACATGATGGAGAAGGTGTTTCAGTAAGTCACAGCCACCTGAAGAAGGCAGAGCACGTGGTTCAGAAGTGTAAAGATGGAAACTGACCAAATACAGAAACAAGTGAACAAAAAAAAGTGTCTTCCTTTGAAAAAAGACTTCCTGTGCAAGAGAATCGATCAAGATAAAAGGATCAGGAAACTGCAGAAACGTTTATTCCCGCACAGGATCATAAAAGCAAAGTATTGTCTCGCACCTGGTGAATAAAAATACTGGACCTCTTATGAAGCAATAAATGTCCACGTGCCTGAGTAAAGCATACACAATGTGAGCAATGTGATCATGTTTTCAGAGGTCGCTGTGTAAATAAACATTTGATTCATGTATTGCACTTTGATTTCATATTTATACATATTTAGTCAACAGTTTGCATCTAATTTACAGAGTGTGTTTCATCGTCTACTAACTAATCTGTTTAGAGCAGCAAGGTGCAGAGTGTATCTGCATCAATCATCAATACACAGTTAAAGGAGTAACTGCTCCACCACTGACATAAAAAAATGAGCTCAGTCGAACCGTAGCCAGATTAAATGGACTCAAATGGAGCAGCTAAATGCACTGTAAAAAATGTTTGTTAAAAAATATTGTAAAGGAAAAATGGTTCCAGTAATGATTCATAAAATCCAAAATAGTATATTACCTTACACTGAATTACCTTAAATTAAGAAATGTACACTGTCAGAAGATGTAGAAAACACAATTTTACTGTGATAATATCAAATGTTGGTAGAAATGTATGGGCAAATACTACTATGTCATAAATGGGTAATCATCCTAAAACTAACAGTGTTATTCTGTCTGATTTTGATACTGTGCAGGTTAAGGTTACAATAACTTAAAATATGGGATGTTTTAAATAAGGATTATGTCACTGTTAGACACACANAATTTACAGTCCTCTTTTCCAGTTTTTCCGTGCAGAATTAGACAATAGTAAATAGTTTATTGTCCTTGCCAGTGATGTTCAATTAAGGTAGTATTTAAAAAAATCCCCTCTAGTGATAATCAAGCTTCTTTTATTTATTTATTTTACTTTAAAATGTTCATATCGTGTGTTTTTTTCTTCTTCTTCTTTTTTTTTTTTAATATGCTAGAAGAGACATCATGAGCATTCAGGGCCATAACTAAGCATTTCCAACTTTAAACTGCAGAGCACTGAGGACATAAAGAACAAACACAAGAACACAGATTCTGGACCTTTATGCGTAACAAACCTAAAGAACGAACACTATGTCCTGAGAATTACAGTTCTCTCACATGTTAATGTGGTTGATAGGGAAGAATGATTCACAAGTCAAGGGTAATTTTGTTAAAGGTGTCACAGTAGACTCAAGGCAATCGGAAAAAAAAAAAGTTTTGGAGAGTGCATTTAATATTGTTCTATTGTCACTCAATCATACAATGTACATACACACTCACATGTTACAAATCTTAATTTATGCTCCACAGTTTAACTCAAATCCTAACAGTTATCCCAGTCTGAGCACATACAGTTGTCCTCAAATGTATTCTTCCATTAAAGAAAAGGCAAAATTCACTGTAGTCACTCAAATAACTAGAAACTGTAAATAAATAAATAAATGAATAAATAAATAAATAAACAAATGCTTGTTTGCTTGTTTATTTTTTTTTCTATATTTCTGTTGAACCACAATTCAAAAGCAATGACGTGATTTTCATTAAATTTTAATTTATTATTACTTTTGTCAATTTCAACTTATTTCAGTGACAGCTGTTTGTTTCTTCTTCAGTGGATGGGTATGAATACATTTGAGGACGACTGTATGAATACATTAAAGGAAAAACACAGTTTTGACAGGCTGGGTAATACTCTTAACGAGCAAGTAACCACGTTTGTTGAGGTAAATGGGTGCAGTATCACTTTAAATGGTGGACGGATCAATGTCTTGGCACCACAAAGTGAACTGTGTGGTTTGAAGTAAAGCAGTTATCGTGTCATGGCACGGCTGCTTGAACATCCTGTGGTAAACAAATACACATGATGGAGAAGGTGTTTCAGTAAGTCACAGCCACCTGAAGAAGGCAGAGCACGTGGTTCAGAAGTGTAAAGATGGAAACTGACCAAATACAGAAACAAGTGAACAAAAAAAAGTGTCTTCCTTTGAAAAAAGACTTCCTGTGCAAGAGAATCGATCAAGATAAAAGGATCAGGAAACTGCAGAAACGTTTTTTCCCGCACAGGGTCATAAAAGCAAAGTATTGTCTCGCACCTGGTGAATAAAAATACTGGACCTCTTATGAAGCAATAAATGTCCACGTGCCTGAGTAAAGCATACACAATGTGAGCAATGTGATCATGTTTTCAGAGGTTGCTGTGTAAATAAACATTTGATTCATGTATTGCACTTTGATTTCATATTTATACATATTTAGTCAACAGTTTGCATCTAATTTACAGAGTGTGTTTCATCGTCTACTAACTAATCTGTTTAGAGCAGCAAGGTGCAGAGTGTATCTGCATCAATCATCAATACACAGTTAAAGGAATTACTGCTCCACCACTGACATAAAAAAATGAGCTCAGTCGAACCGTAGCCAGATTAAATGGACTCAAATGGAGCAGCTAAATGCACTGTAAAAAATGTTTGTTAAAAAATATTGTAAAGGAAAAATGGTTCCAGTAATGATTCATAAAATCCAAAATAGTATATTACCTTACACTGAATTACCTTAAATTAAGAAATGTACACTGTCAGAAGATGTAGAAAACAGTTTACTGTGATAATATCAAATGTTGGTAGAAATGTATGGGAAAATACTATAATGTCATAAATGGGTAATCATCCTAAAACTAACAGTGTTATTCTGTCTGATTTTGATACTGTGCAGGTTAAGGTTACAATAACTTAAAATATGGGATGTTTTAAATAAGGATTATGTCACTGTTAGACACACACACAGTGCTTAACACATTTAATACACAACCACCCAGTGTAAGGTTTGTGCTACTGCTGCCCTTAATTATCAGCATTGGTAATTAACAAAACAATTTTTTAATGTTTCTGTAATGGTTCATGCACCAGTATGTAGAAGCTCTTTAACTGAAATTATATTTTTAATGCTAAACTATGATTATTGTTGCTATCAATGAAATTCACAGTTTTACAACAAAACTGAAAAAATAGTAAAGCACATAATTATTTCTTGGTTTAGATGTTAAATTATAGTCATTTGCTTGCATTCCTGAGCAGAAAAATTAATTTTAGTGGTTGAATCTTATTAATTTCTGACTTCTCAGAGAAGTCCAGTGGCTCAGATTTGGCTTTAAAAATGTGAATTCAGTTTTAAATTCCTCATTCCTGTTCAAAATGGTAAAATGTCAAGAGCTGAGCGGAGTTAAAACACTTCATGATGCTGGATGATCTATAAATGTAGATAATAATAAATTAGACAGGTGGTTCGTTAAGCACTGTATGTTTGAATATACGGTAATTTATTTATTTATTTATTTATTAATTTATACTGTAATCATGCCTCCAAACGTTGAAGGTCACCTTGACTCACAAAACATGTTTTCAGGCCATAACTAATGACGTCATTCATAATCATGACAAAATAACATACAGACGCCTAACAGGTTAAAATGATAAAGTGATGACTTGTTACAGCCAAAAGATCAAAGGTCAGAGTCACTGGTTCCTCACAAAACATGTTTTTAGTCACAACTTGACTGGTGAATGCGGTATCTTAGTGTTTCAGGGTATAAACAATGTTGTAGTATGTTGTTGGCTGCTGATAGGTTGTTGCTAAGTGAACCAGTTGGTTCCCATGGAAGATGATTAGTAGGGTGTACAAGATGTTACTAAATGGTTTTGGATGGTTGCTACAATGTACTATAAGGCTGATAGGGTGTCAGTAGGTGGTTTCTCAGGGTTACTTTAACAGGTGGTGGTTTTGTGGTGTCTTCCAGTGTGATTGATGAGGTTTAGGGGTTTGGCTTGGTGATCACTCTGTGTCTGCTTTAGCTTGGGGCTGCTGTGGTGTACTGACTGGTTGCTATGTGAAGATTGACAAAGTGACAGGGTGACTGTTTCTGTGTTTCTAGGGGGGAGTACTGTTGCTCAGTGGTTGCCCTGGTGGCAATAAGTAGATGCGAGTTACTAGTTGTAGTGCTGGGTTGCTAGAGGAGGGCTGGGATGGTCTTGTTGGTTACCTGGGTGCTGGTTGCTAAGATTAAAATGACACATTTTGATAACTGCTTACCAGCAGCTACCCTATTTAATAAAGGCATAACTTCATTTTCACTAACACAATAAGAACATAGTTATTTGCTTTTGTGTGGTCATATTCTCACTGATTTGATTTCCTGTGCTAGCATTTTTTTTTCTTCATTGTCACAGTTTCATGCAATAACGTTAGATAGAACAAAGATGTGCAAAGACGAAGAAGTTCATCATGTGATTACCATTACCGAACAGTTTAAAAGGAAAATTTTGAAATTTCTGCACATTAATAATAATATTAACATGATGCTATTGGCAGAAATTTAATTTAAAATAAAACAAACAAAAAAAAGTGAATTTTTCCGCCTATAATGCAGCCTGTGAAACACTTTTGTAAGTAGCAGTAAAAAAATATTGATCACATGGACCTGGTGAGTGATTTACCAACTACTAACAAATTACAGCGTTCATTTCTAAATGACTCAGAGGCCAGGGTAACCATTAATTCAAAAGGAAAGCGAGACAAGACACTCTCATTTTTGAAAGTTTGTTAAGTGTACTAGAAGTTTGCTTGGCTACATAAGGTTACGGTTATCCTTACTAACGCTGTCTTTACTGCATTTGTCTGTCTGCTAAAACTGATTAGTTTGCTACCTTACGAGTTGACAGAGTTTGCGTCTTTGTTGTTGATGTTGATGTTGAGGATTAGCAAGCTAACTGCATCCAAAGTCTGATAGCGTAGCTTTGGAGGTTAACGGGGGCTTTCGCTCATGACATCTTTCAGAAATTGTTTTCAAACTTTTCTGACACAAAGTGGACTTGGAGAGAGAAAGTTGTTGGCCATTGTGTCATCAAGGAAAACGGCGAGATTGTATTTAAAATGGAATTAAAATTCTAAAACAAATGGCCTTGGACAAATCTGTTTTTTCAACTTTTCAGCTTTATTGAA